CGTAAGAAGAATACTTCTCTTATATACAAAGTTCGCCACCTGATCCAATTACATTCACAGCCAAAAAGCAATCTCTTGTTAACTCTATAGTTAATTCTATTAAAGCTGTAGATCTTGCAAATATCCAACAGTGACAAGCCAGTTGGTCAATTCCTCTTGCAACCAACGGATCAACATTTGGTGGATCTGGAAAAAAGCGGACTCTGCATGTGCAGGAAAAACGCTAGGAAGAAAAAAAAACAGCTCCAGGATGTTTGCCAAACTCAGAAATGCCATTTTAGTTATCTTCAGTTTTCTGGGCTGCCTAGTAACTTCAGCCAATTCTGCTGCCATCTATCTCAAATCAGGAAATTGTTCAAGAACTCAGAATCTAACTGGATCTGGTGCAGTTGCAAGGACTTTTGCTACTTCTGAGTTCTGGCCTCAGGTTAAAGACATGTCCAGCAAACTAGCCCATAGTTCTCTAACTCTCTCATGTTAGCCTTTGCCAATATGTATATGGGGTTACATCATATTGGTGCAGTATTGCTTAGTTCACTATCATAATCCTCTACAAGGCTAGCTGAATGTATGGTACTTTGGGTATCATGTACAGCTTGATAAACAAATCAATATAGGAAGAAATCAAACCTAAACTTTCCTTAGAAGCTCAAATAACAAGACTGTGGCTTTCCTATTTTGGACATATCATATGAAGAGAATGATCATTAGAGAAAGATATTGTGGATATTGTGCTTGGCAAGGTTGAAAGGAAATCAATAAAAGGAAGGCCAGCAACGATTGATATAATAGCAACAGCATAGATGCCATTCTAGCAATTATTAGCTGCCTGACTGAAGAGTGAACACAGTTCAGGAAAACTATCTGCAGGGTCACTAGAAGTCAGTATGACTTGATGGCAACTAACAACAACTTGCTCTAGGGATTTTACTGGTGAGGCCTGGAATAAGTCTTGCAACCCAGCCCTCTTTGGACCATTTACAGTCTTTTACAGACTTTTCAAACATCACAGTATAATAATAATAATCTATATCATAATTCTCATCCAATTTATGGTTGTTTCTAGAGACAGAAGCAGCAGTTACAGAAACACCTGTTCCATCTGTCCCAGATGTCTTAAGACCTAGATCTGTTTATGTTCCTTGTGGCAGCCTAAGCATGTTGAGCAATGGTTTGCAGTCTGTAGATCACCTAAGAGTTTCTCTGCTTCATTACTTGCTGCCGAAAGGGTTATACTGACCTTGGATTTAGCACCAGGAAACACTGCTAGGAGCTGCCCATTTCCTACATCTGCTGTGGCACCTTAAGCCTTAGAGCCCCAAGCAAACTCCTTGCCCTCCACCATTAAAAGATTTTTTTTGGCCTTGCCTAAGTCATATCTATCCTTGAAGTACTTTGGCTAATTGTCTTGTGTAAGCACAGGTTTGAGTCTGTCCTGTTCCTCTGGGGTAAAAAAACTCCATTAGAAACTAGCAGGACAATAGCATTCTGTAATCAAATTCCACTGCTGACACCATGTAATGTGAAGGCTGACACACTAACTTGACTACAGACTTTTTGTGAGTTCTTAGGATTTCAGTGCAAACTCTTCAAGTATATATTTTTTCCTGTTTTATTAGGTCTTTTTGAGTGTGTGTGTGCCTTCAAATCAGTGTTGACTCCTGGTGAGTGCCTGGACAAGTCCCTGCAGTTTTCTTGGCAAGGTTTCAGAAGTGGTTTGCCCTTGCCTTCTTCCCAGGGCAGAGAGAGAGTGATGGGCCCAAGGTCACTCAGCTGGCTTCATGCCTAAAGCAAAACTAAAACTCACGTTCTCTCTGTTTCTAGCCTGATGCTTTAACCACTACACCAAACTATCTGTCTTTATTAACATAGCACAGAGCAAAATAGGTTTTTACTTCTACTTTTTAAATTACCTCCTTTGCAAGGTAATTTACAGTTAGATGAACTGTGTGGACTCTCTGGCATTCTGCTGCTTTTTTCTCCTGATAACTGGTAGGGAAGGCATTAAGAAATCTTTATTTATTATGTACAAAGACCAGTACATAATAAAACCAATGGATCAACATCCGGCTGATTCAATAAAAAGCGGACTCTGCACATACGGGAAGACTCTACAGTAGAAAGAAATGTGTGTGTGTATGTGTATATGTTGGCAATTGGGAGGTGCAGTGCCGGTTGGGGAGAGAGAGGGTGTGTGGTCAAGAGTTGTGGTGCAGGTGAGGGAGGGTGTGAAGGGTACAGCGCAGGTTGGGGGTGTGGCATGGGTTGGGAGGATGTGGGGAGTGCGGCGTAGGTCATGGAAGGTGTGCAAGGGTATGGCGCAGGTCAGGGAGGGTGCACAGGGTTGCATTGTGGGTTGGGGAGGGTGCGTAAGGGTATACAAGAGGCGCAGGTTGTGAAGGGGGTGCGTGAGGGTGTAGTGCATGTCAGGGAGGGTGCTCTAGGGTGCAGCTCAGTGAGGGGGCGTGTGAGAGCATGGTGCCAGTCAGGGAGGGTGCGTGGGATTGTGAGTTGGGGAGGGTGCATGGGGTTGCGGCACAGGTTGGGGAGGGTGTGAGGTGTACAGGTCAGGGAGGGTGCGCAGGGGTCTGCAAGGGCGCAGTGCAGGTCAGGGAGGGTGTGACGGTGTGGAAGAGGTGCAACATGGGTTGGGGAGGGTGCGAGGTGTGCGGGTCTGGGAGGGTGTACGGGGGTATGGCGCTGGTTGGGGAGGATGCAATAGGATGCATGAGTGGTTGGCACAGTGCGAATGCAGAGGGGCTGAGGGAGGTTGTGTGGGTGCGGGAGTGACTTGCGACCTTCCCTGCCGGCTTCCCCATTGACTTTCTGAGGAAGCTGGCAGGGAAGGTTGCAAACAGTGATCATGGGGCACTGCAATTGGCTGTAAGTGTGAACCAGTTGCCAAGCACCCAGATCACAATCACATGACCATGAGGGTGCTGGGACAGCCGGAACTCTGAGGACTGGTCATAACCACCATTTGTTTACCACTGTCATAAATTCTAATGGTCGCTGAGCAAATGGTTGTAGGTCGAGGAATACCTGTATATAAAAATTTAGCTGCATTTAGAGTAACAGTGATGCCTGTCTGAAAGTAAAAGTTGTAAGTGAAATTGATTAGAATGTCTGGGAAATTTGTTTAAATGTGGGGTTATCAAATCTGACTATGGGCCACCATAAAACAGGCAGTATAATAAAATGTATTTAACAATTTTGATAGCTCCTTTGCTACATGAGGGGGAAGGAATTCAATCATAGCTTGAGACTGAAAATGCACCATAAAGGGAACTTTTTCCTCTACTGAACATTATACAGTGTAAAAATTGATTTTGCATGTATGTACACTGCTCTATTTCTGAAGAGACTGACTATTAACCTGAATAAAGAAAAAGAGCTAAAGATACTAGCTAGTATTTTTTTCTTTCAGGCCAGCCATGGCTCCTTCTCTGGAAGGTTGAACTTAGTCTCTCCTGTCTCAGTCTTCTGACTCCCCAAAACCCCCTGCACCAGGTAGATTATGTCCCACACTTGGCCTCACTTTTCTTCAGCACAGTTCTCTGGATTTTCCCCTGCTCTTCCCCAAGAGTCTTCCAAGCTGTTCTCAAACCAACAACCCCAATATTCATTCCATCCCAGGAGGCAACATTGTTGATCTTTAAAACTACAGATTTTCAGCACCTAGTGCTGCCTAAATTCATCTTAGGTTTGCCAGCCAGTACACCTCTCCTATTAGGTTTCTCCTTCTTCCTCTCCCCATGGTCCCCCCTGTTTTTTTAAGACTCCATCTCTGCCAACTCAGGAGCCTCCTTTTCTTTCCCCTGTTCTTAATTTCTATCTAGCTCACTAGAACAAAGTGTTTTCTGGTGTTTGGGCTGCCTTTGACAGCCTCCATGACAGCTCCATGACAGATTCAAGAGGGACATGGCTGTCATAGTGTACAAGGCAAATCGATCTTTTGAGGCAAATGAAATAACAAGGTGGCTTGAGAAAAGAAATGTAGAGTAGGTACTATGTAGAAGAAATACAGTACTAGAAAAGGATAATATGCAACAGTCTTGAAGACCAAGTAAATCCCAGTTATCTTAGCCATGTAAATAAGGACTACTGTATAGCCTAAAACAAGATTACAAAGGACTGTGCTCAGTATTGGACATGAATTAGTAGTATGGTGGGTAGAATGAGTGAGAAATTCCTGATGGATCTTAGCTATTGGATTTTTAGATTTGATCAACAAAAACTGTATTTCAAGGGAGAAATAAGTACTAATAGCCAAAAAAAGACTTCCTATTGGAAGTGTTCAAACTGTTCATTTAACTTCAAGATAAACTTTTTTATCCTGAAGCTCTGAACTGGTTAGTCAGCTTTATGGTAACTTGGAAGCTAAGTAGATATTTGTATGTATCAGCAAGTCTCAGGGTGCAATTTTATGTACTGTAGTCTGATTATTGGAAGAAACGTGCACACATTGCAGCTCTGATTCTTCTGCAATTTCTGAGATGTAATTCTTGTTTCATTTAGTCTCTCACCAGGGATTGAAGAATGAAACTGCTGGAATGGATTCTTGAGCCTGAGTGTCACAGTTAATGTCCACTGAAGAATATTCAGGAAATGGCCAGTATGTCCAGGCTTTGCCATAGCTGATGCCATTAAGAAAGAGAGAACAAAGGCGCCTATCTGAAAAATCCACTTCTAGTTTTCTGAGCAGCCAAATTTAGCTGCTATACTGTAAAATCTCATCAAGAGCCTGGGCATTGTTATAATAAGTTCTTATTAAGGACCTTGACATATGTTGTTCAACATAAAATGTATAGTTGCCTTTAATATTTTATTGATATTAGCTGTCACCACAATTTCATAAGGCCATGTTTGGCAGGATAAAAAAAACAGCAAATAATACCTTGTTTTTTTAAAAAAGAGCAAATTTGTTTCTTATTGAACCATTTTTTTTCCCCATTTGCAGGATTTGAAGAACCAGGACTTACAGACACTGGATTGCAACTGGGTGGCTTGAGATGTCTGGCTCCTATGAGGATTCTGTTGGCGTTGAAGTTTTTAGTGGTAGCTTTTGGGAGGTAATTATAATTTTATTTAAATGTGTCTGAAGCAGAATGTTGATTGGTGGGTTGTATAAAATGTTTTGAGCTCAAAACGTTTTGAGTGTTCCGAACTTGAAACATGATCACAGCTGTAATTATAAGTCAAATTCCATGATGGGGGGATTATTAGAAAAGTGTTAGAAAATTAATTGCTGCTATTGTTTCTTTGAAGTTGAAATAGAATGTTTAGGAATGTAGAAAACTTACTGTTCTGGAAATCAATCTATTATTATTATTATTATTATTATTATTATTATTATTATTATTATTTAGCAAATGTATATAGCCACCCATCTCAGAAAAGGTAACTCTGGGCAGCTTACAAGCAAAATAACAATTAAAACCATATCACAATGTAAAAAAAATCAGACATAAATAACAAGAAAGATTTAAAAAAACAAAGGAATAAAAACATAAAAGAACCCCAAGATAGCAGGAAGACAACCATCATTTAGCCTCATTCAACCATTTTGCAGGCTCACCATGGAATCCCCAGGGTTGATGGAAGAACCACATTTTCAAGGCTTTCTGGGAGGCTAACAGAGATGGGACTAACCTCACCTTACGAGGAATGATGTTCCAGAGGGTGGGGCTACAGAGGGTGGGGCTACATGTCTCCTGGGTCCCCCCAGTTGGAACTCCTTAGCAGCAGGACGTGGAGCATACCTCTTCTGCTGGACCTTGGGTATAACCAGGAAGAGAAGTTCCCTCAAATGCTGCTGGAACACTTTGTTTTGCTTCCAAATCATACCAGTCTGCCTGTTCCTTGGGTAGTCCAGCAGTTTTTCAGAAGTTAATTATCCAACTGAAAGCAAATACTGTATTCTGGAGTTTTTTTAGTATGTTCTGTTCCTGGAATGGTGAGGTTTGCACATATCAATTATATATTGGATGGAGAAGCTACTAAGAAACCAACTAAAGTATTTGAGGGCTAGAATACATTTCTTAAAGTGAAAAGTGACCTGTTTGGGAACTTCTAGTTTGATACAAATGTGCAAAACATTCTATGCACAGACCTTTCCCAAATGGAACAAGCAATATTGGGTCACCCATGCTTGGACCAAAACATGAGTGTTTTGTCTGGGCAAAGACACAGAACACGTGTGTTCCAGGTTGGGAGACAGTGGAGAAAATGCAAACCATTAGCTATGGTGGCGGCACCTAAGCAGGTATTGGTACAATGGGGGAAGGGCAGGTGCTATGTCATTTTAAGTATGGTAACAGGGAAGTATGGGAAAGGAAAGTGCTGGAAGATAGAGGATGGGAAAGTGGACACTTGGGAGAGGGACAGCGAGCTGTTGGTTAGAGCAGTGGCACCTTTAGGAAGGTGCCTGGAAGATTGGAGAAAGGGGGTGAGTGGACCATCCAGGTATTCCATGCTTGAATTAAAACATTGTAATTACAGCAGGAAGGTAAGGAAGATGGTAACACATGCCATGTGAAGAAGGAGGAATATAAAACCTCTGGATTTTTCTCAGATGAAACCCAGAGCAGCCAGATTCCAGTATGACTGGATCTTAGTCTGCCTGGAAAGGTCCAGCCAAACTTCCCAGTTCTGCACACACTCTAGTTAAAGATGAATATAATTAAAGGAGGCCATGGAAGATTTATATAATTGTGCACAAATGAAGGGAAACTGAATAGAGAGAAGAAAATTTGTTATTTTTTTCTCATATTAGTACACAGTGTTCAGTGAAAATGATTCGCAGCAGGTTTGGGACAGGCAAACCTTTACTTACTTAATGTATATTTTAATTTAGGCAATTCACTAATGTACTATCCAACTCAATAATTTTTCTGAGAGCAATACATGGATTGTCAGTTTCTGGAAACATCTGATTGGCCATGTTCACAAAACTGCTGGATTACATGATTGTTGCTTTTATTCAGCAGCGCTTCTCTTTTGTTACGTTTTATAATGATTTTGAGAAGTTGCTTGCCTCTAGACAAGGTTTTCTGTAAAAAGATAAAAATATTCAATGAACATCTTACTGTATAGATAACAGAATTTGAGCAAATGCTAGCAATATGAACTACAGCAGTGTTTCTTAATCTTTTTTCTCTCAGGACCCCTTCCCACTTTTAAAAATTATGCAGGACCCCAAAAGAGCTTTTGTTTGTACAGGTTACATTTATCAATATTTACCATGTTAGAAAGATTCTTCATCTAGAAGAAAAATTGATGCATTCGCTGCCACTACCACTTCTTACAACTGTTTGATGGGATTTTAATATTATATTATTTTTCAACATAGGCTGGCAAACAATTTTGATGTTGTGGACCCTTGAGAGAGTGTTGGGGGAGCCCCAGGGGTCCCAGGGCCACACTTTAAGAAACACTGAAGTAGAGGTTGCTTGTGTTATCATTATTATGCCTTCATAAAAACATGTGAACAATATTAATATTGATATAGTTAGAGAATGTTTTGGGTATTTACAATATGTTATAGTCATGTAGGCTAGGAAGCTCTATTCTCCAGGCAAGGTCAGGAAGAATTACAACAGATATATCTTATTGTGTTCACTGATGCCCTTTAAAAATCCATCTTAATTTGATGGAGAGCAAATTCTAGAACCATTACTCATAAATTACAGGCATTTTGAATTCTTCTCTATTTGGTGTTGGTCAGGCCACATCTAGAATATTGTGCCTGATTCTGGGCACTGCATTTTAGAAAGGACATTGACCCACTAGAATGTGTTAGAGAAGAAGAACCAAGATGATAAAGGGTCTGGAAGGAAAAACTTAATGAGGAATGAGTGAAAGTTTGGCATATGAGGGTGCCCCTCTTGGAAATGTGCCCAGCTGGGTTTACGGTGTGGCACCAGCTGAGATGCCAGGGCATGGGAGGAGGGGTGGCTGTTGTCATCTGAGAGTCTCTGGTGGCCTTCAGGGGCATTGCTCCACAAGTTTCTGGCTGTGAGACACTGTTTCTTAGGTTGGGTTCCTGCGAACAGTTGGGAGTGCTGCTACTGTACCGGCCTCCGTGCTGCGTGGCGGCCTCCCTGCCTGAGCTGCTGGAGGCCATCTTGGAGCTGGCGGTGGAGTTCCCCAGGCTTATGGTTCTGGGGGACTTCAACCTGCCATCCCTGGGACAGGCCTCAGAGGTGGCTCGGGAGTTCATGGCTATCATGGCAGCCATGGGCCTGTCTCAAATTGTGTGGGACCCAACCCGAGACAGTGGCCACATGCCGGATTTAGTTTTCTTGTCGGAGCAATGGCAAAGTGATCTGAGGGGAGATTTACCGCTTTCCCCGCTGTCATGGTCATATCACATCCTGGTGACCCTGAGTTTCTCCTATGCTGCCCCCCTCCGCAGGGAGGCAGGACCCATGTGATTGGTCCGCCCCTGGCCCCTGATGGACCCGTCAGGGTTTCAGAGGGAGCAGGGGTATTTCCATGGATCTGCTGCATGGTCCAGCGGAGACCTTGGCTGCTGCCTGGAATAGGGAGGCAGCCAGGGCCTTGGATAGGATCGCGCCTGTGCGACCTCTCTTGCCACATCGGCCCCGACATTCCCCATGGTTTACGGAGGAGTTGAGGGTGCTGAAGAGGGCCAAGAGACATCTAGAGCCCTGCTGGAGGAAGACACAGACCGAATCCGACCGAACACATGTTAGAGCCGCCATTAAGGCCTACACTGTGGCGATGAGAGCGGCGAAGCGCCAATACTTCTCCGCCCTTATCGCGTCCGCAGAGTGCTGCCCAGCGGCCCTGTTTGGGATCACTAGATCCCTCCTCGGTAAGAGGGATCTGGAGATTCATTTGCAGGGCCGCATGGAGGAATTCTCAGAGCACCTGCAGGATAAAATCGCTCGGATTCGTTCCAAGGGCCCGGTTATGGAACAGAAACGGCATTGGTTGCACTTATGGATGATCTCTGGTGGTGTCAGCTTCAGCCCAAAGAACTCCAAGAGACAATGCAAATATAGTTCTGTTGCGTTTATTAGCTACAACCTCCAGACAGAAATCTCCCCAGACTGGACCCTAGTTCCCAAGCCAGCCAGCCACAATA